CGGCGTGGCCATCCCCTCTGGGGGGTGATTTCTCGCTTTCTATCTCTCTGTCTGTCTCTGTCTGGCGAGCACACGTGCCAGATAGCAAAATTTTTTAATTGGCAGAAGGCACTTGCACTTGCCAGAGAAGACAGAGAGAGTGAGACGAAGCCTAAGCCTTGTATTCATCACTAGACTATAGAATCCACACAAAACAAACATTCAAAGGGAAAAAATAATGGTTAAGAACACAAGCTTTTAGGGGACTGGCAGGGGGCATGGTGTTTGGGGGGGGACTCCCACATTGCCAACCATTGTTTGAATCCTGGACCTGGAGGCTCGCTTTCTCACTTTCCCTCTCCCTCACTATGTCCCTCTCTGGTCAAATTAAAATAAAGTTAAATAAAATAATTTTTAAAAAATAACAAAAAGCTTTTAAAAAGTCATACCTGAGTTAAAAATGCTATCACTTACTGGAACCAGCAGTTAGGGTAATGGCTATGTCGCTGGACTCCCACGTAGTCAACTGCGGTTTGCATCCCGGACCTGGTGGCTTAAAACTCATGCTGGGCGCGTGTGTGTGTGCATGCCCAAGATCCGGAGAGAAGAATGGAGGAGAGGGGGATTGTGGCGTGGCCATCCCCCCTGGGGGGTGATTTCTCGCTTTCTGTCTCTGTCTCTCTCTGTCTTTCTGGAGAGCGCACACGCCCTATAGCAAAAACCTCTCCAAAAAAAAAAAAAAAAATCTATCACTTACTATGTGACCTCAGTCAGTTACTAAATTTTGAGCTTAAGCTTTCTAGCCTGTGAACTGCTGCTAGTGATTCCCACACCTAGACAGTTATGAGCATCAAATAATTCCAATTCCCCATTCCTATTATGCTCCCAACTTCCTTGGAGCTTTCAGATCTACATCTCTGCCTGTAACACTTCGTTCCCCTTTGTTTTACTGAATTATCTATCCTTCGGGTCTTGGCTCACTGCAAGTTAAGTTAGGACCCAAGTGACCCTCATAATTATCTTCCTTTCAGAGCACTTATCAAATTGGTTATTACATTTCTGAGTTATTGATTATTAAACTTCATCAATGAACATCTCAGTCCTGGACTAACCCCTACAAGGCATTTAGTAAGTAAGCCACGGTAGGGGCTACCAGGTGGCATGGTGGTTAAGGTGATGAACTCCCACATGGCCAAACGTAGTCTGAGTCCTGGAACGGGCAGCTTGCTTTCTCACTCTCCCTCTCTCTCTCTCCAGTCAAAATAAAGACTAATAATGATAAATAAAATAAACAATTCTTTAAAATAATAATAAGCAACGATATTTAGACATTAAGCTGCCCTTGAGCACTCTGACAGTATCGCGCCTGACCTACCCCACCTCGGGCAGGTAGAGAGCACCGTTCAGGACTAGGCTCGTCTATGGTCAAGGCCTCGACTCTCCCGCTAGACCGCGCCCTAGAGCGCTGCGGAATTCAAGCCCTCCGGCAGGTAAGCCGCTAAGAGAACCTAGTCGGGAGACAGACCAATTGGACCTGGCGGGGCAATCTCGTCCCTCCAATCAGCATCACGATCAACCCGCGCAACTCGGGAATTTAAGGCTACAGATGGGGAAAGGGTTGCGAGGCAGACGTGATCGAGTTAAATCATGTAGGAGGGGCGTAAAGACACCGGGAAGCCTCAGCAGCCAATGGGAGCTGCAGCGGGTGCAGTGGGTGAGAAAGAAAAGTCCGAGACTTAGGAGGTAGACCTTTAAGTTGAGCTGACCAATAGACGTAAAAGGAATGCGGACGGACGTGTCTTGCACCCAATCGAAATAGTGCTGGAGGTGGGCGGAGCTGCGATGACAGGTTGGAAGCGTTCTACCAATCAGAGCACGCCAGCAGCGGACAAGCGGGCCCGCAGGCTAATCAGAAACAAGGACTACGGAAGGCAAGGCTAGGGAGAAGGAGCAGAAAGCTGGAGCTAGGCTTCGGGCAGCCAATCATCGTCTGCTAAGAACAGCGGGCGGGTCGGCCGCCCTGTTAGGGACTCTGAGGGTCTCAGAAGGGGCCTCCGAGGGGTCTTTCAAGGTTGAAGAAGCGGCATCGTCCAAAGGGGGAAGAGTACGGTCCCGAGAACCGGGCGAAGAAAGGCGGTCGTGAATTTGGGATCCTCACCTCGGGCCTTGCGCCGAGTCTCCTGGTCACCGAGGCTGGGTGGCTTCTCCATAGAGCTCAGGATGGAGCCCAGTAGGTCCGCCATCTTGGGAGTGACTGAGAGAGGGCGGCGCGTCTTAAAGGGAAAGGCGAAATGCCTTTAAGACCGGAAACACGTCGGAGGCGGAAAACCGCGCGCCCTCGCTGCCTGGGCTCTGATCCGAGTCCAGCCGCGCGCGGTCGCTCCTAGCCGGCCGAGGCCCCGCCCTCCCCGCCCCGCCCGTCCGCCGCAGACAGAGCCCCAGGGAACCACAAGCCCGGCCGTGCAGCCTTCCCCGCGGCGCCTTAAATAGATTCTTCACTATACTCTGTATGTTACAGTATGTACAAGCCCCCTCCCCTCGGGGGACGGGGGCGGGACTCCGCAACGCGTTCCTATGTACACCCCCTCCCCTTTGGCCCCGAGATTGGGCCAGGTCGGGATGCTGGGGGAAGACAGGGCCAGAAAGGGAGGAAACAGACGCAAACATGCGGAGTCGGGGTGGGGGCACGGTCAGCCCTGAAACACAAGGGGCGCGCGCAGAGAAGGCAGAGGTGGGGACCGAGGCGGATACATTCAGAGACGCGTCGAATAAATAAATAAGGCAAATCAGGAAGGGGCTGAGTCGGGTGCAGGCAGGGAAGGAGCTGTGGAGAAGGGGCAGGCAGGGCTCCGTAGGTCACGGCTGAAGATGCAGGTATGTGGGGCGTGGGTCTTCTGGAGCCAGGGAGCAAAAGAGAGGGGGCACGACCAGGAGGGAAGTGAGGTGTGGAAACAGGAGTTGGGGAGAGGGGAGGAGGGTGGAGGCCTATGAGGGGCTCCACCAAAGGTGAAGGGGAAAGCTGCCGACAAGGAGCTCCCCCTGCCCCAGAAAGCCCTCTTCCTGTTAAGACTGCAAGAAGCCCCCAGAGTGGTGAGAAAGGCGCTGGAGAGGTCAGGTGGCCAGTCCGGGCTGGGGAAGCCCTTCCAGCTCCTGGTTCTGCTTCAGTTCCCTCATCCTGTAGAAAAACAAGGAAGGAGTCAGAGATGATGGTCGAACCAGGCGAAGAGGCAGGGCAAAATTCCAAGGAGAGAAGGGATGAGTACCTGTGTCGGCAGCGCCGCAGGAATCTCATGATCTTCCGGGCTGCCTGGTCCTGCTTCTTGGTGAGAAAAGAGCCTCTGGTGCGAGAAAAAAAAAAAAAAAAAAAAAAAGATGAGGAGACCTCATAGGCATACCATGCCCCTTATGGACCCCAGCAGGGAAAGCCAGGGGAAAGGATGGTGAGAATGGGGCCTTACTTGCCGCGGGTGGGCAGGGCGCCCGAGGGCCGGTGGGGGGGCCTGGGCCGACGCCGGTAGGAACGGTAGTGCTGCTGGATGAGCACGGCCGCCCGGCGGCTCTGCTGAAACCGCTTCTGCTCATAGTAGCTTCGGAACTTGCTCTGAATCAGGATGGCCGCCTGGGTCATCTTCTTATAGAGTGCAAACTGCAGGAGCAGGGAAGAGGGACAGGGATGAAATGGAGGAACGGAGACCCAAACCCTTGAGAGTCACCCCCTAGGTTAGGCTAATGCAAGTCTCATTCTCTAACCCACACACTCACGGAAAGGCTGAATCATCACAGACAACCTCACACCCAGATCTCATGCCTAATACCTTAAGTGCAATCCAGGTCAGCTTGTGGAGAGAGAAGGGGAATTAGGGCTCTGGCAGCATTCTGTGCGCTCTGGGCTGGGCTGGGTGTGTGCGTGTGGGTTTGTGGGCATGCTTTCCAGAGAAGGGTCTCACCTGCTTGTACTTCCGGTAGCAGCGCTGGATCACAGCTGCTGCTACCTCCTGCTGCTCCTTCAGCCGCCGGCCCTGAGGGGAGAGAAATCTCAGCACCTAACGGGCACTTCATTTGTCCTTCCAGCTCTCCTAGGGTCCCCTGACTCTTCACTCTGAGACTTGTCTGGATGTTTGCTCTTCTACCAAACGCCCTGGGAGGCCACAGCTGGCCCTGCGTAATTCATCCCACAACCCCTGGCCCCCTGACCTTGTACTTCCGAAAGGCTGTCTGGATGACGCGGGCTGCCTCATACAGTTCCCGCTGCTCATGATCCGATAGTGTCAGCAGGGCAAAATCACTTTCCATCTTGCCACTGGTAGAGGCAGAGAGAAATTCTGCCCAGGAAGGTGCTGGAGGGATAGCTAGGCGACCTCTCTCAAAGGGCAGTTCGCTGTAGGAGATAGAGAAGAGGGATGTCACGGGGCATCTGAAGTCTCTCCCCTCCCACCTAGGGACTGTTATGAAGGAAGACCACTAGCAATAATCTTGAGAAAGTGGCTTCAGGGTTTATCAGCCAATTCAGTTTCCTTCTCAAAGGGCCTCAGCCAGAATGGAGCTTTGGGTGTGAGGAAGCCTCCTGCATCCTCCCATCCTCCTTTAAAGAAGAATCTGGGGGACCAGCAGTCGGCATAATGGTTATATTGCTGGACTCCCATGTAGTTGACCGCGGTTCGAGTCCCAGACTTGGTGGCTTAAACTCACGCCATGTGCATGTGTGCCCAAGATCCCAAGAGGAGAACGGAGGAGAAGGGATTGTGGCGTGGCCATCCCCCCTGAGGGGGTGGTTTCTTACTTTCTGTCTCTGTCTTAATGGTGAGTGCATGTACCCTATAGCAAAAACCTCTCCAAAAAAAAAAAAGAAGAATCTGGAAGCTCTGCCCTGAGCTGGTCACCTGGGAGGGACTGAGCTGGGGAAATGGTCCACATTCTCCAGGTAGCTGGCCAGCCAGGACATGGTTTCGCTGAGCCCCACAGCCCCTGTCCGCTCCCGCATGGAGGTGCCTGCCTCAGGCAGCCCCACAAAGTCCTCTCGTTTAATCCGTTCTGGTGTGGCTTCAATGATCTGCTTGGCCAGTGAGATCATGTCCACCTGGATGAAGAGAGAAGCTGGGTGAGCCCTGGGGGCTCAAACTGCCAGATGTCCCTGCCCTGCCAAACTACCTCATTCCTGTCTAGTTCTTTCTTTCACCAGACACCGAGGCCTCGGGGATTGCTTTTCCTACTATCCGTTCCTTTCTTGGCGACTATTCTAGACTCATTCATTTATCCTTACTGGGCTCCCACGTGGGGATTCAGCCCTGTATGCCAAGGGGTTGTGGAGGACATAGGAAGGACAGGCTCCAGATGAAGATTCTATGAAATATTCGACCCCTTTCTAGGTCGATTGTGCCCTGTCTACCTGGGCCTATCTCATGCCAGCTCACTAGTATATCCTCCCCATAGGTTTGGTCATGCCACCCTCCCCGGCCTCCTCAGTTCTCAAGAACCAGCCTGATGGGGACCAGCAGTTGACATAATGGCTATGTCGCTGGTCTCCAATGTAGCCAACTGCGGTTCGAGTCCCAGACTCGGTGGCTTAAACTCACACTGGGTGCATGTGCGTGCATGCTCATGATCCCAAGAGGAGAATGGAAAAAGAATTGTGGAGTAGTCATGCCCCGTGGGGGTGATTTCTCGCTTTCTGTCTCTGTCTTTCAGGCGAGCGCACATACCCTATAGCAAAAACCTCTCCCCGCCCCCCAAAAAAAGAACCAGTCTGATGTTGCTGACCAAATGACACCTGTCAAATGGCTCTAGCCTGGCCTTTGCTCCAGCTCTGAAGCCTCTAGCACTTCCTCTGGCCACGTTCAACATAGCCTACACTTTTTGTGGAGTTCCTTTTTTTTTTTGTACTGAGCGTGCTACCTAATTATCAGTCCACCCTAAAGCAGGTACATCTCAGGTTCTAGTACAGAAATACATTGCTACATCTGAAGATTCACTCCCTATTCATTCATCCTACAAAGCTTCATTAGCCCTTGTTCAAGTCTTCTCGTGAGGCCAGTAGGCTGCACGGTGGCTAAGGTGCTGGGCTCCCATGTGGCCAACAGCAGTTCAAGTCCTGTACCCAGCAGCTTGAAATTCACACCAGGTGTATGTGTGTGCATGCCCAAAATCCCGAGAGGAGAGTGAAGAAGGGCTTGTTGCGTGGCCATCCCCCCTGGAGGATGATTTCTTGTCTCTGTCTCTCCAGGGAGCACATACACTATAGTAAAAATCTGCCAAATACCTCTGTCATCTTGCCAACCTCTCTGCTTCACACAACTCCCAGCTGCCCTCACCCTGGTTCCCCAAGAACCTTGTCCTTTCATGGACCAGCCCTAACTGAAGACACTCTCCAGAAGTTCAAGGTCTGAAAGGAAGTAAGTGTTCCCCTGCCTGTCAAAATAAATGGCCCCTTCTTCCCAAACAAACCCAGACTCTGATGTTGTTTCATGGACTAGTCTGCCTCACCCGCTCTGCACCCCATTGCACTTCTAGCCCCTATAATTCCATTAGCATGAGCAGTACCGGGATCACATCCACAGCCTGGGGGCTGTCTGCGTTCTCCAGGGCAGCTCCATCATCTGGGGCTGGCAGGAGGGCAGGAGGGGAGGGTGGGGGCCCTTTGGGGCTGGTGGCCTCATAGTCCATGAGGAGTAGGGGGGCCTCTGGGGCACCAGAGGATAGCTGGCTTGGGACAATCTCCTCCATAGTAATCTCAGAGGCTGGCAGTGGAGCAGGGGGAGGGCTGCCATCTGGGGCACTAGAATAGGCTGACGTGACGGAGAAAGTGCCTTCTGACAGCTCCGAGGGCGATGAGACACTGCTCAGACCTGTGAGGCAGGGTTAGAGGGTGAGGGCAACAGGAGCACCAGCCATCTGTCGAGTCTCCCACCGTCCCGTCCCCATCCTTGTTCTCAGCACCCCCACCCTGCCTCCTCCTCTCCCTGTCTTTTTAGCCCACCTTTTGGCTTTGCTCTGGCCCATGCTACCCCCATTCCTCTCTCAAAAAGATGGGAGGCAGCCCTCACCAGTGTCTGGGCTGGAGGAGGGTGGTGACAGGGCAAGAGGGGGTTCGACTGAAGCCTCCTGCCTCTGCAGTTCTTCAAGGCAGCGGGCAAGGCGCACATGGCCCCGGGAATGAGCCACAGACAGGGGAAGACGGCCCAGAGAGTCGGGAATGCTCAGGGCCTGTCGGTTCCAACGGAAAAGGAGCACAGCAGCTTCCAGGTGTCCCAGGGCACAGGCCCACATCTGAGAAGGAAATGGATGGTGGAGATGAAGCTGGGGTTCTTCTTCCAGGTAGCTAGGTCTTCAGGCCCTTGCCCATCCACCTTTCCCTGCTTCC